AGTCTTTATTATCTGTAAACCCGCGATCAGAAATGATAGCTAATATATCGGTCATAAACCCTCTGTATTTGATAGAAGGTATAATTTTAAACCAATTCTTGGATCAAGGAAAATCATTAATGATATAATCCTTGCGCGTTAGTAAAAGTGACAAACAAGAATGCAATGAAGCTTTGACTACAATTATTAATCGATCTCTAGGAATAAGGATATTCGCTAAATCCGATTTGCCTCTTTTACTACGTCCCCCTCAACAAGGTCATATTTTTCACTCAACTAATATCGTTTCAAAAAAGAAGGAAAATAGATTTAAATCGCTGGATAAAAACTTACGTATCGAACACTTAAATCTTGAAGAAAAAGACTCAATTATTAAAAAATTATGTTATGAATTCGAAGATATTTTTTATCTCCCTGACGACATATTAACTACGACTAAAGCAGCCGTTACTAAGCCGTTCCGACGTCCGACAATCCTCCTGTTCAAGTAAAATACTATAGATATCCCTTAAAATGTTAAAACACGGTATGTATTATTAAACCTTCTATGAGTCCATGGTACTAGGGGCTTGCCGATTTTTCGACCTTATCTCTATGGTAGAAAATTTACAATATACACTGACCATAGACCTCTTCAATGGCTTTTTAATTGTAAAAATCCCTCTTCGAAACTCGTTCGATGGCGTCTGCGTCTTAACGAATACAAATATGTAATAAAATATAAACCGGGAAGAGTAAACTCAAATGCAGACGGTTTATTGCGGTTACATCCTGATCAAGAAGAAGAAGAAAATTTAAAATCTATTAATTTTATTTGTACAAATAAATTTAATAGAACACATCAAGATTTTATTAAATTTCACTATACAAATATGGACGTAATCGACTTCTGAAAGGAAGAAACACCTCTTGAAAAATTAAAAGGTCCAATAATACTTTCGTGGTCCGAAGATTTGGACAAGGATAACCAAGACTCGGATTATGTAGTCGAAAACTTTCATATAACCGCATTAAAATCAACCCCTAATGGATTACTTAAGTTACAAAACGATAAACAAACTCTATTAATTCTATTTCCTAAAAATTTTAATCATGAGAAACTCGATTACCGGAATTTATTTGAAACTTTTAAGATTCTTCAACACTCAATGAAATCAGAGGACTTTATTTTAGTACCACCCAAACGGAAAAATGGACTTTAACGAAATGATTAAATTCTCCTTTCCTTCTAACACTATTAAATTTTTAAATACAGCAAAAATTATCCCCAAAAATCGCGACGAAATACAAACCATTCTCAAGGAATGTCACGATAGTAAATTATCCGGTCATTGTATTGTGGTTTTAATCGCACGTATTCTAAAGTTAAGGAAAGATATTATTATTGTTAAAATAGGTGCGAGTTGTTTTGAATAAAACCTTCTCACTCTCACCCTTTAACGATGAGTACGAATTACCAGGGAGTGGGAATGTGGGTGAAAGTGAATGGTACACGAATAAATTTCTTTCGTCTAGTCAATCGACTAGGCCGTTTATTTAAAATTGAGAATTAAAAGAAAAAAAAACCAAAATTAAACAAAACAAAATAAAGAAATTTAAATTTAAAAGCGCCAGGAAAAACCGAGCCCGATGGCGAGCTCGTAAAAAACCTGGCCGTGGTCTTTGGCCACTACGGCTCTTGTCTCGGTCTTCTGTAACAAAAAGAGACCGAAATTCGGCTGTAAATACTTGACAACGCTCGTCGCGTTGTCGGACTCGCTTCAATCCACACGCTCCTTACTCTGTTTATGGTAAACAGAAGCGGGATTCTTACACAGCGTTAAGCAGCTGTATAGTGGACTGTATGATTGAACGTTTCTCGTGTGATCGAGATTGCAGTATGGGAAGGCGAGATTCTAATCTCGATTTTTTCTGGACTGCAAAGTTTGATTATTGCAGGAGTGGACAACGGGCGGAGGTTGTAAGGCTTCGAATGTTGTCTGCTCCGCGGCACTTCACCGTCCCCTGGTCCGTACAGGACCGGAGTGATGCAGTCCCTTAACTGCGCTAGAAGCGTCTGTTTGTTAAGGTTCTTACACCACCGCGCCCTTTGAGCGTCGTTCTACGCCTAGTGTCCGTACACACTGGCGATCCACAAACCACGCTTGAGCAGATCGAAGTCTGCTGGGAGTCCACCCAGGGAATACGCCAAAAGGCCCCTATGTGGGTGTGATCCCAAGCACTGACTCGACCTTGGAGGACGACGATTCCACCCAGGGAATGCGCCAATAAGGCCCCTATAGGTGGGTGTTAGCACCGTGCAACAATCAAAGGAGGATCGAGAAACTCTCTCGGTACCTCCTGCACGACCGCTTACTAAAACGGTACGTGTATATTTTGCACTTGCGTTTCGGAAACCACGTTCGTGCAGGTCGAAACCAGCTGGGAGCTCACCCAGGGTATATGCCAAGAAGGCCCCTATAGGGGTGTTATCCCAAGCTCCGATTCGACCCTGGAACGGCGATCCCACCCAGGGTATTTCGCTACAAAGGCGCCCTATAGGTGGGTTTTTATCACCGTGCAACTGTGATTTTTAGTACACGACCGCTGATTACAGCGGTACGTGTTTCCTACGCAACGGTGGCGATAATCAACCACTATTCGAGTGTTAATTGATTATATTCAGCCACCAATTGTTTTTTGGACAATTGCTCAAGTTTTGAGACAATTTTCCGTGTCCAGGTGGTTCGTTCACCGCAGTGATCGAGCTAAACGCACGAAACCGTGAGGTACGAAATTCGACTTGGCTAAATTCATTCGAATCCGCAGCAGTCTTGCTATCGTTCCGTGTCGGTTCAGCGGTGCAACGATACAATTAGACGGATCTAACTGATCGTATATAGCGATCGCGGTATTAGACAAAGTCGGCTCTGGAGGTCCAAACTCGTCGAGAACCAGAAAGCGAGTGATCGTAGAGACAGACCCTCTTGTCCGCGGTCGCGAGAGGGGAAATTGTCTGTCTCGTATTAATTTTGTATCCTTTCTGTTATTTCGGCGTAGTAACACCTGTTCTCATGGAACCGTTACTGGGCCGACCGCGTGACTATTATCGAAGGTAAATTTGGATTTTTTCTACACGGTATTGCTCCCGAAGCATGTTACGCCGCAGAGAAGGCTCTGGAACGTCGCGTAAACTGAGGATAACACCGTATAAGAAATGTCCCCTTTTTTTCTATAGATCACGCCAGAATTTAACCGCCGTTTCTTACTAACGAATTAACGCATTATTTAAACAATTATTATTGGTCTACAATGAAAGGTGACATTAGAAATTATATTAAAACTTGTCGGTCCTGTCAACTAACCAATGTAAAACCAATTTCAAACCCACAAAGCAACCAACAATGGAGATCACAACTACTGCAGAAAAACCTTTCCAAAGATTAGCTATCGATATAGTAGGAGGGGACCTTTACCCATAACTGAACAAGGAAATCGATTAATTATCACCGCTTAAGACGATTTGACAAAGTATTCGTTTGCAGTGGACTCCAATCCCAAATCACGAAGCACAGACGATAGTCGAAAAATTACTCTGTATTATGTATTTCTTTATTTCGGTATTCCCCAAACATTCTTGACCGATCAAGGTCCAGATTTTATGTCAAACCTCATTAAGGAAATGAGCAACCTATTTTAAACAAAACACATTTCGACTACACCTTATCATCCCCAAACAAATGGAGTCCTCGAAAGATCCCACTTAACCTTAAAAGATTACCTCAAATACTATATGTGTAAATAAGAAACAAACAGACTGGGACTCCTACATAACTTTTCCAACGTTTAGTTATAACACAGGCGTACATAAGTCGACTCGCTATGCGCCATACGATCTTCTATTCGCGTCAAAAACCTTATTTGCCTTCATCTATAAGGCAAGATCCAGAATTTCATGATAGTTTATAAGATCGTTAAAATTTAAATTTAATACACCTTTCCAAATGCCTCGCGAAAAGCTTATTGATTCGAAATCACGTAGCAAAGAATACCTCTATAGGAAAATAAATCCAATCAAATTTAAAGTTAATGACCTTGCAACAATTAAAAATAATCGAATCCCAACGGGTTTACCCAAAAATCTTGCGAGTAATGCTGGGAGGGGACCTTATAAAATTATTCGGCTTTTTTCTAATCAATCTGCCGAAATTCAAATATTCAACAAAATTGGTTAAATATCACACTAATTTGCTCAAACCATATGAATTCCAGATGAATCTGACAGTTCTAATCGTCCTTCTACTCCCCCTCCTAGCGAGTAGTAACCTCCTTTTCTCTCACCAGCGTTTTGAAGAATCGATTGGAATCTTTTAAAATTTTATAATAAAAAGGGTACGATTCAAATTGCGATTTGAAATTATCGGTAGCTACGGCACTGCCGCGCCGAGATAAGCAAGCGATGGCCGCGTGGCGGTAAAACGTCGTGCACGCGTTGCAAATACACATTTTCTCGACCTGTGGCAATTGAGAATAGCTTTTACACTTCTGTTGGACAGTTTCTTCTTCATAAATGTCTGCAGAATCAGATCCTGTGTATAGATTTCGTGTCAGGTAAAGAACTTTTCGTAAATATGTAAAAGTATTGTGTATAAAGTATGTACTTCGACACTTTTTCAAACTTTGGCGATCATTTACAACCGTTCAAAAGTACAAAATATTATAACTATCGATGTTAGTATATTCAGGAATCTCTCCTCTATCTTTTAAGATTAATTGGAACTCTCTGATGTTTTTAATTTTCGCGTAATACCTTGCTTTTGCCCAAAATTATACGTTTTCACAAAAACTCGTGTTTTTCGAAAACTGAGGGTGATACAGCAATTCCATTTTCAGATTCGTGTTTAGGGTACAAAGCTCTACAAGAATCACCTAGTGGGTATTGAAAAACCGAAAAAAAAATTGAATTTGTAGAACAGTGAAATTGGCGACAAGAGCGTGAGCTTATGCTGCGCCAGATGGAGATGATGCGGGGAATGCAGTCCTTAAACGTGGCGCCAGGAACAATAGAACGAGGTAGCACCACTAAAAAGGTGGGCATCACTGTAATCGCGGATCTTCTGGACTATTTTGACGGAGACCGGGATCGCTATGAGAGATGGGAGAAACAGATAACTCTGCTCAGGACATCGTACGAGTTGGACGACTCCGAATGCCGAATCCTAATTGGCTCCCGATTAAAAGGGAGGGCTCTAGAATGGTTCCATTCGAAGCCGGAGTTCATTCAATTGACATTTGAAGAATGTATACAGGAGTTGCAGGCGATGTACCGCTACCAACCGAGCAAAGCAACAAGGAGGAGGAATTTTGAGCAAAGATCTGGAAAAAGGGAGAACCCTTTTGCGAATATTTCCACCACAAGGTAGTTCTGGCGAATCGAATCCCCATCGAGGACGAGGCAGAACTGGTGGATGAAATTATTGAGGGTATTCCCGATACTGTGCTACGGAACCAGGCACGCATTCAGAGGTTCCAAAATAAAAGCTCTGTGCTGGCTGCTTTTGAAAAGGTGGAGTTGCCAGCAGAGGTCAGACAAGGACGACGAGAGCAACCGAGGGACACCGAACCGTGGAAACGACCGCAGGGCCAGGTAGCAGCTTTGGAACCGCCGGTCGCAAGGTGCCATAACTGTGGGGCAAGAGGACACAGCGCCGCGGGATGCCCATTGAGGGCACAACGAACAAAGTGCTACGCGTGCCAGGAGTTCGGGCACATTGCCGTCAATTGTCCCAGGAGGTCATCAGCCGCAGCGGACAGCCATCCGTCCAATACGCCACAAACATCAAAGAATAACTATGCGAAAGTAGTTAACATTGGCGATTGTGAAATAATGGCACTTATCGATACCGGCAGTGATATTACACTGATGCGAGCGGCTGCTCACTCGGAGCTAGGTTTCCCACCACTACGACAAAATAAAATTAGTTTTTGCGGGATAGGATCATTAGCCAATAAAACGTTAGGGCAATTTAACACGAACATTTCGATAGATGACACTTCTTATCCGATAAATATCCATGTCGTTCCAGATTCTCTCATGCGGTACAATCTTTTGTTGGGGACAGATTTCCTGAAGACGATGGAGATTCGCATTAAAGGGGAAGTTATAGAGATCCGAGGATTGCGCGAGGCTAGCCCCGACGGTTCGGATGTCGCGGACGTGCTAAGAATAGACGTTGTTGCCGAGGAGAATATAGACACTTCTCATATAGCGGATGCGCAGCTTAAAAGCAGGGTAGAATATTTGGTAGAAAGCTACCGGCCGAATAGAAACCGCGAAGTCGGCGTCGAAATGTCGTTGGTTCTGAAGGACGAAGAGCCGGTATATCAAAGGGCGAGGCGGTTGTCCATATCGGAGCGCGAAATAGTTAATACTATAGTCCGAGAATGGTTACGGGACGGAATCATTCAACCTTCGTTGTCGGAGTACGCGAGCCCGGTAGTCCTGGTTAAGAAGAAGGATGGCACGCCCCGGCTTTGTGTCGATTACCGACAGTTAAACAGAAAGATAGTTCGAGACCGTTATCCGCTTCCCCTCATCGAGGACCAATTAGATTCTCTGCAAGATGCGAGGATATATACCACTTTAGACTTGAAAAATGGATTCTTCCACGTTCCGATTAGACCAGAGTCACAGAAATACACCGCTTTCATAGTCCCTGATGGGCAGTACGAATTTTTAAAAGTGCCACTTGGGCTTTGTAACTCTCCGTCCCTGTTTCAGAAATACATTAATGCCATATTCCGGAAATTAATACATAGAAAAATAGTTTTGATTTACCTTGATGATTTGCTAATTGTAGCTTCAGATTATGAGACCGCCGTTATTAATTTAGAAGCCGTATTAAAAGTCGCAAGTGAAGCCGGATTACATATTAACTGGAAAAAGAGTCAGTTTCTACAAAACAAAATAGAGTATCTTGGGTACATTATTGAAAACCGGACCGTACGACCGTCTGTGCGCAAGACCGAGGCTGTAGCGAAATTTCCGGAGCCAAAGACGATAAAACAAGTACAAAGCTTCTTGGGCCTTACAGGGTATTTTAGAAAGTTCATCCCGCAATACTCACTGATTGCTAGACCGCTCACGAACCTCTTGAGATCTGAGTATAAATTTCGCTTTGAGTCAGAAGAAACCAACGCATTTCGAGAGCTGAAACGGGCGCTTGTAGAAAAACCGGTGCTCCGATTGTTCGCGTTAGGCGCAGAAACGGAGTTACATACTGACGCTTCGAGTTTCGGGTTCGGCAGTATTTTACTCCAGCGTGATAGTGTCACTGGCGCGTTACATCCGATTTATTATGCCAGCGGAAAAAACCAATTCGGCGGAGGAGAAATACGCTAGTTATGAATTAGAGGTACTAGCGATAATAAAATCATTGCGAAGGTTTCGAGTATAACTGCTGGGGATCCCATTTAAGATTGTAACGGATTGCCAGGCGTTTGCGTTAACTATGCGGAAAAGAGACCTGTGTGTGCGCGTGGCGAGGTGGGCCCTATTGTTGGAGGAATTTCAATATACTATAGAACATCGTTCGGGTAAGAGCATGCTGCACGTGGATGCACTTAGCCGGTACCCCCGGCCGCAGTGTATGTTTGTGTGTGAGGACGAGGACAGCGTGACCGCGCGCTTGAAAAGGGCACAGGCCAAAAACGAGGACGTTGCAAGACTCACCCAAAGGATCGAGGCGGAACCGACGGACGAATATTGCATTCGGGGTGGCCTGATTACGATACAGAAGAGAATAATTGTGCGGATATCCGAGGTCAGATATCATTGTAGGATGGCCGAGTGTAGGAATGAATATGTCGGATGAATGTTTATTAACTAGTATGGCTGAGGAATGTTTCGAGTGGATCCTTTACAGAACGAACGCAGCGTGTTTTGGTAAGATTGGCCGAGGTGTGAAAGAAAAGTGTTTGGGACAGAGTACTTGAGATTATCGTGTGAACGGAGAGCGAGTGGCCACCCAGGGCTCGAGGCGAACGTGACCGAATGCGTCTTTCGAATGGCTGATGACTGCATCTAGGGTGAACGAAATAAAGTGAAAGAAAGAATGAAAGAAAGAGTGAAAGAAAATGAATGAGAGAATGAATATAAGCCGCAGGAAAAGCGCGCAGCGGGCAGAAGGTTTTTCCCGAGACACCAGAGAGTTCGAGTGACAAGTGTGTATAACCGCGTAGTAATCCTAAGTTTTTGTGACATAATAAATATTATTGTTTTATAAAAACCTTTCATTAATTGGTCTGATACCTCGACACCCATCCACGGGGAATTTATTACAAATAATTCCTACAGTAGTTATCAGAAAAAAAACGTGGCTTATTAAACGAGATGTCATATTTTCTGAAATGACCCGAAAGGTACTGTCCTCCGCTCACTTGAAGTCCCGCAAGACGGCACAGGGGCAAGGGGAGTCGGACCGCCCATTTATCTGTCTTGCTCACTTGCTCTCAGGCAGTCCACATGTGTGTGTAACTGCCGCGACGAATAGCGAGCTAGAGACCGATGTGTGCGTGGGAATACGTGTGCCCCTTCTACTTCTCCCGCATTCCTTCCGCGGGACTTCAAGTGAGCGGAGGACAGTACTTCCGATGCCGATGATGCAAAATTTTACGAAGACAGTATTAAAACTTTAATAAATAATAACAAACAAACTCATACTCAAACTCAAACTCAAACTCAAACCTTATTAAAGTCACAAGTTCAAGTAATTAGCGACACTATAAAAAATTTCAATAGTTCGTTACATTCCCTCCAAAGTTAGGAGAGAATAATGATTGATAAAATATAAGAAAAAATGAACTCAGTTACTGTACAAACTAATTCATTTATATCTCGCGACTTGAAAGGGAGTCCATAGTTAACCAACAAATTATTACCATTAACGTGTTAACGAACCAGACGAGCCGCGAATTCTCAAAATATATAGAAACTGCCACAACATAGTCTCACTGTTTATTATAACTCCTAAAACATTATACGAAGAACTAAAGAATTATAAAAATGAACACGAATTAGTTATGGAACCAAATTTCGGAAAATTTCCACTATTTTTACAAATTAACTAGGAGATAAATATACAAAAAGAATCAAATAAAGGAGGGGACCTATAGATTATTAAAAAATATAAACATATCACAACTATATCATTGTTGTTATTATTATATTTAACACATAATATTTTAGTTGCCTGACTCTTTATGCAAAAGTAACTGTTTGAAACTCATTGTTTAGCATACTCTTTAAATTTATATAATTAATGTTCTTGCATTCTAACTAAAAACTCCAAAACATTAAATAATGTGAGCAGCGCTACAGTTATGTACCACACTGTGTATTACCACAAAGGTTGTAAAACGTTTTCAAGAATATGAAACTGTTAAACCCGCACTATCACAAGCCCGCAGACTGCAAAAAATAATTTGCTATAATATATTACAATGGGTTCATGACTACGATAAGGAAATAGACAAAATCAACAGGGTATATTTATAGGAAATAGTTGAACGAAACATAATTAAAAAATGTCTTGAACAGTAAAGGGTTATTTATCTATGCTACAATTGAAATGAGTTTCAATACATGCGACAACTATGGATCAGACTGATTCAAGAGGTGTCCTAGATTCAAAAAATCCTATGTTTTTGTTCTTTCCTTTTTTTCAAAACCGAATCTCTTTGTACGACCAGATCGATTTAAATTTTACATTTCTCATTAAAATATTCCAATATGAAAAAGTCAAATTAATTTTCTTCGTGCTATAACATAGGCTCAACTACCCGGTTGAAACAATATGCAAATACAAAGAGATACTGTACTAGATCGTACGGTGAAATAGGAATAATTAAGTACTAAAAGTATTGCATTGACAGAGTTACGTACTATAGATGGATGAATAGAAGATTAGTTCTGAAAGGAACTGCGAGTTTTATTGGATCAAACGATGTGGTCAATCCTTCGTAAGGTCTGCCACTAAATGTAAGCCACAAAATGAAGGAGGATCTGTTGGGCGGGCGGTCCGTCGGAGGTGGGGGCGGGGTTGGGGGAGGGTCGCTTGGGGCGGTGCGGGGAGGGGGAGGGTCGGTAATTGGGGTGGTAATTAGTATCAACGGTCGGTAATTATTATCAATGGTCGGTAATTGGTATCAATGGTTGGTAATTATCAGAAAGAGGTAATTGTCAGATGTCGGTAAAAGGGGGGAAAGATATTTTTGCTATTTTTTATAAAATTTATATATTTAATCTTTTATTACAATTCAGTGAGAGTATAAATTATGTAATTACAAAATTAGATATATTTTTTATTTAATTATTAATAGCATCGTATAACATATTATCCACTGCAAATGTCAACAGCTCGCAATCCGCAGGAGAATTTTTATCATAATATTCACGAAGGATTTTGACGGCCTCATGTTTATGCGCAATACTGTTCCGTTTTAATATAGTTACAAATTGTTTATATTTCTCGCTGACATAGTGCGTATTTTGACACAGCCACGAATACGCGTGCTCGACACACAGTTCCAGTTCGAATAAAAATAATACAGTCGATGGTTTCATATACATGCAGGCATCATACAATTTCATTTGCACAAGGTTCATGCCACGCATTGTAACCACTGTAAGCACCAAATCACAAATCGTTAATGACGTTGGAGAAGGAGCTGATTTTACATGTTGTTCGATATCCTCGCGTTTCTGGATCAATGTCGTCCATGTCGAGTGTGGCAACAACAACACATTTCCTCGAGTATCGCCAAGAATAATTTCCACAGCGGACACAGGTCCTACCGCGATTCTAATATCCAGGTACTTGTATGCCGTGGATGTGAGGGCAAACCTCCTCCCCAGTATATAAGGCGTCGAACGTTGTTTATTGCTATCGCAACATATAGAAAAAGTATGTAAAGAATGAAAGGTAAGTAATAACGCTAAGGAAATGATGATAATAACACTTACTCGCGACTTATGCACACCGTTTCGCGAGAAATGTAGTAATTCATGTTTGTAGAATCCATAACGTTTCACGACGACGGCGACGGCGATACTATCAAAACGAGTGTGCAGCACATAAAAAAAATATGTGTATCATGCGAAGCGGGTGGGGCATAGTGCGGGGGGGAGAGGAATTTTTGATGTCACGTGTTCTTCTGCGAAAAGTGCAATGTTTGCAAATACCTTTTATATTACCATGAACACGTGCAAAAATGCAACCTCAGCAGAACGTATAACATTGACGAGCATTATGGGCGCGGGAAAGGAAATTAGATGCCTTTAAAATATGATATATTTATTAAAGCAACAAATGATTATAAAACATTACTTTTATGGATCCATGAATTGTGCGAGTTATTGAGTCTTAGCCATTTTACGTACACACTGTTCCCCTTCTTACGTAATACTTTTTCAACCAGATACACGTCGGAATTAGCAACTCGTTGCAACTCGCGAAAAGTGCAAGTTATGCAAAAGCGTTTACAGATTACCTTGAACACGTCCAAACTTGCAACTTCTACAAAGCATATAACATTGCAATCGACGACGGGGATTTCTTTAATATATCGGGAGCATCACCGAGAGCATCATCGGGACACAGATTTTGTAATATGTCGCAAGCATCACCGAGAGTATAATCGGGGCACAGATTTTTGTAATATATCGCAAGCATCATTGTGTACGGCAACGCAAAAACGGTAGTATGAGTCATCAAGAGCAGGAGCTGTACGAGCAGGCCGCTCAATTAAGGTC